TAGGATTGTAGACTGGCCTCACAAACCAACACAAGTCTTTCCCGCGCACTTTGTCCTCACTCGTGCGCGCTTAAGAAATTCCTAGGGGGTCACCAATCCTAGAATTGCTCCAGGTCAATCACGCTTAACTTTGGAGTTTCTAGGTGATAAGCTCTTGAAAAGAAGATACACCTCGTTGGTATGAGTAGTACTATCAATCCTTTTGAGCTTTTCATATTCCCATCTTAATACAGGGTATTACAAGAGCTCGACGTCTTGCCATGAGGGTACCATCTCAGCTCCGGTACGGTGACAGGACTGCCGGTTCCGGTGCTGGTAGCGGTCTCGTACCGGTACCATCTCCACCCCTAACTACGAAGCTTAGATCGTAACTTGTAATGTGTTTGAAAGTATACCGTTTTGGTTTGACGGTTTGAGTCTTCGGCCCTATCACCGTGTTTGGTTTGAATAAATGATAACTTTAGCATTGGACCAACTGACCGAGGAGTAATTTGTTTGTGCTTTTTGAGAACAACATTTTCAACTAGCGTGAACATTTTGAATAAGATTTTTATGGTGTAGATTAACTCTGAAAATGTTAACACTAACAGTTATCATTAGATATCATTTTTGAGACGTTAACGTTAACTTCTAACACCGATGCCAAACAAGACCATTATCGAGTACTTCATAGAGGTCTAAAATCAGATCAAATAAAAATTAACTTTAAATAATGAAATCATAATTTAATTAAATCAGATCAAAATCAGTTAGATAAGTTAAAGAGAACAAATCCTTATTTAGACTATATTTGGTTTAACAAGCCCTTATTTAGACCAAAATTTACAATACATTAATAATCTTCTTTTGAAAGGCTAACAAGTAACAATAAAAATACTACTTCGTATAATACTCTGTACTTCCTTTGTTTTCAATTTGATTATAATTTTTATTTATGAGATAAAATTTTGCATTTTAACAATCAGTTTATTAAAAACTTGGTATAAGAAAAATTTATAAAATTCATAAATTATATTATATATTGAAAGATTTACAAAACAAGAGATAAGAATTACTCCCTCCGTCCATTAATTTCTTTCTAACTTTCCTTTTTTGGATGTCCAAAATTTTTTTTTCCGTTTCCTATTTTGGCAATTTTTTTAGCGAATGTGCCGTCATATCCCTACTTTTGTCTACACTATTGACTTTATTTCATCACATCAAGGATAATGCATGAAAAGTCTTTACAGTTTTTTAATTTGCTTAATCTCCGTGTCAAGTTAAACCGAGAAAAAGATTTGGACGAAGGAAGTATATTTTATTTTAGGAAAAGTTATCCAAAATAATCCCAACTTTACTCCGTTTTTCAAAAATAATCTCACTTTTAACTCTAACACATAATAATCCAACCTTTACTGAAATTGTGAGTTTTAGGCTGCCATTAAGTTGTTAACGACGAGTTAACGGAACAGCCTATTTTGCGCAACAAAATGAAAGTTGAGATTATTTTTGGTGAATTTTTGTTTTTGTTTTTTTTGAAATTTTTATTTAGATTTTAAAAATAACTTTCTAAATCAATTTCTTTGTCCTTTTTTAAATATTATTCGTATCTTATAAAAAATAAAAAATAAATATAAAGTATCAGAAGATAGAAAAATTACCAAAACTATACAAAGTTAGTGAAATACATAAGGTAATCAATAAATATTAAACTAAAATAGAAAAGAAACAAAATAAAAATATAATGAGTGGAGTGGTCTAACATTATACGCATGATAGAGTAGTAGTGTACTACTTATTTTTTTTTGAAAGAAATGTAAAATTAGGATCATTCTAGATAATTTTACATAAAAACTACTCCCTCCGTCCCACAAAAAAAGTTCCCATTTTGACCATAAATTGGTCAAACTGTTGCACACTTTGACCTTAAATTAAATATAATTTAAATAAATAAATTCTAAAAAAATTTGAGATATCAAAACTATATCCTAAGTAGAATCCAATTATATAAAAATTTATTTCATAATTCAATATACCTTTCTCACAATTTGTAGTCAAAGCGTGTAAATATTTGACTAAATACCATTCAAAATGGGAACTTTTTTGTGGGACGGAGGGAGTAGTATCACACCTGTGCGTTGCACGGGTCATTTTTATGTTATTAAATTCAAATCATTTTTCAATGATAAAAATGAGATGCAATAGAATATAGAGATTATATTATTTTAAGGTACAAAACATCACTGCTTTATAAATTTCGAAAGACTTATTTATAGACTACATTATTTGTATAATTTGTGGGAATATTATCTTTATTGCATATCAGAATCTTCAACCCACTACGATTAGTTACTCTTGAAACTGCAACATAGAGTTGTCCATGACTAAAACATGTTGGATTATTGTTACGGAAACTTGTGATAAACCCTAACTGCTCGTAGCTTCATCATTAACATTGATGACCGCTCATCAACATTTTTCAAAGCAGTTAAGATCCCCATTTTTCGTAGGAATGACAGTTTTGAAACGTAGGGGAAAAAAATTCACGATGAATGTAATGACTATGAAAGCTTTGTAAATGGATGTATTTATAATATGATTTTTGCATACGGGGTTAAAAATATTCTTTTTTCAAAGTTCTATAATGAATTTAAATTACTATTACTATATTTAAATTATTATATTTATTATATTTAAAATTACTATAATTAAAATTATTATAATTAAAACGACATGGTAATTAATACGGAGTATACAATTATCTAGTCACACGGTTATATAATTAATGCCTTGGTTAATTATTACCTTTTTTGATTAAAATTACTATAATTAATATATAGTAAAATATAGCCATTATAAAATATAGCCACTATAATTAAAATATAGCCATTATAAAATTATTATTATGAAACGGCCCGGTTCTAGTGACACCTGAGAACGGTGCCACTAGCGGTGCCACTGGGTTTTTGGGGCACCTCCGGTGCTCCGTTCGTAAAATTGACGGTTCCTACCCCCCTAACCCACCCCCTAAACCCCCCACCCTACCCCCACCCCTGCACCCCCACCCCAACCCCGCTGTAAGGGGTTACGGCGGGGTTGGGGTGGGGGTGCAGGGGTGGGGGTAGGGTGGGGGGTTTAGGGGGTGGGTTAGGGGGGTAGGAACCGTCAATTTTACGAACGGAGCACCGGAGGTGCCCGAAAAACCCAGTGGCACCGGAGTGGTTCCGTTTTCCGGTGTCACTGGAACCGGACCGATTATGAAATTACTATAATTAAAATTACTATAATTAATTTGACACGGTAATTGATATACAACTATGTAGTCACACGTAATATTAGATTTCATTAATAGCGTAATATATAGTTTTAATTAAAATTACTATAATTAATTTGACACGGTAATCACACGTAATATACAGTTTTTATTGAAATTACTATAATTAATTTGACACAGTAATTAATTAGATTTCATTAATAATGTGCTTAATATCATAGTTTTAGACACTTATAAAAATAATAATTTTTTACCGTGCTTATAAAAATAATAATTATATTAACTTCAAAATTACCATTTTATATTACTATAATTTCGAATACTTACCATTTAATTTCACAATTGCCATATGTAATGGCCATACTTCGTGCACGGGTTAAAAATGGACACTTTAATTTTGGATACTTACCATTTTTATAGTTAATAATTGCACGAAGTAATAATTATTACATTTTTTGGTTATTATCTTTCTTTTTATTAAACATAAATATAAATATACATATTTAAAGTATTTTACCGTATTAATTTTTTTAAACTGTGTGTATAATTATTCTTACCATAATTATATTATACTATAATCATACACACGTTTTTTATATAACCTAGTCACACGGTAATCATATAATTATATAATTATGGTAAGAATAATCATACACACGTTTTTAATAGCATTGATTGGCGTGTATTAAAGTTTATAAATATTTTTTGCCTATTTTATAAATATTTTTTATAACTTAACTTTCTTGCTAGTATAAATTTCGGACACTTTAAAAATGACAGTTAATTATTATAAATATAATATAATAATTATACTTATAAAACGTAAATTTTATATTACTATAATTTCGGATACTTACTATTTTAACTTCAAATTACCATATGTAATGGACATACTCTTTGGACGAGAAAACGCAATATTGATTCCATGTCTTTTTAAATAAAGTATAGATAATTAAGAAGAAGTAGTACATTAATGATCTCTATAGTATGTAAAATGTTAAAACCCACCTCTCTATATATTCTTATTTTATTTCTTACCAGTTTCAGGTTAAATTCCATTGATTATTATTTTTTCATTAACTTTTCATGATTTTAGTTATTTTTCTCATTTTTTGTTATTGTTATATTTTTTTATTTTTATCCAAAGTTAGACTAACCATTTAAGAATTATAAATGATGGTTGGTTGAAAGAAATTTCAAAATTTTAAATTAAAATTACCAAAAATATTAAAAAATAAAAATTTATCAAAGATAATCTCAACATTCATTTTGTTGCGCAAAACAGACCATTTCCGTTAACTCGCCATTACTAACTTAACAGCGACTTAAAATTTGCAAATTTCAGTAAAATTGTGATTATTATGTATTGCAGTAAAATGTGAGATTATTTTTGAAAAACCTGATAAAATTGAGATTATTTTAGATAATATTTACTTTATTTTATTAAATAAGTAATAAAAATAAAAAGGAAAAAGATCCTTAAAAAAGGGAGAATAATATAAATGTACATAATAAAAAGACCTTGAAATTCCTAGCGTTACCAGACCCTTATTTCTTACTCCGAAACAAACGTTCCTATTTCCCTCCTTTCTCTCTCTTCCGCTCTCAAATCTCAATCACACCTCTAGCGTTAGAAGAGGGCGGGCGGCCTTTCCCTCTTTCCTTCGCTATCTCTATCTCTTCCTTATTATTATTTTTATAATAATAATAATAATAATTTTATTTTGCCTCTTCGTTTGGTTGAGAATTCGACGATGTTCATCTGAGGTCTGTGTAGATCTGAGGCGTAGATATAGGTTTACAGACGTCACGCGCCGAGATCTGGGGGCCACGCGCAGGGATCCGGGAACCGGCATGGTTGTCAACGGCAGGACGATGAAGCGTATGAAGAGGCGCGTCACGGCTGACCAGTACGATTTCCTCACGTTCCCGTCGCCGTCCGACGGCGTGCGCTCTCCCCCCAGCGCGGCCCCCTTCAGGACAAACGTCAGGGCGTTCCTGTCCAACCACGCGCTCCTTCCCCCACCGTCGTCGCTCTTCCCCCACCTGCTCACGTGCCAAATCCAGTTCCGTGTGGGAGATCTCGCCGACAGAGGCAGCGGTGACTCCCCACCCGACGCGGTGGTCCTAGACATCGTGGAGGAGGACGTCGCGAGATCTAGATCCGTTTATTGCGACCACTGCCGAGTCGTTGGTGAGTTCACGAAACCCGACTCAGTCACCCAAGAGACTAATTATTTTCCTTATCCGTTCTCTCCCCATTTACGACGTCGTTTTGCATGTCCCCCTCTCTGTTTACCCATGGATTAATCAAAAGAGAATTGTACCCCAAATGCACACCACTCTTTTTCCACCACATATTTTTATTTATTTATTTTTTTAAAATTTTTTTGCCTTCGGACAAGGAGGGGTGGGGACATATACTCCTAAACATTTTTCTAATCAAAAAGTGACACGTGATTCTCTGTCTATGTATTTTGATGGTACAAAAAAAATACGGAGCAAATTGAATTTCGTGGACCCAACTTTCTCGTAAAGTGCACACTTTATTGTCGTATACGATATTACCCCTTCCGTACTGTTTCATAATTGCAGAGCAAGGACTCCATTCTGAGAAAATTAAAAAATTAAAGTTGTCTAATTAAAATTTTACTCGTAATTTTCAAAATGGTTTACTGTATCTTTAAGAATAAAAGTTCGTTTTTCAAAAAAAAAAAATACAGCTGGTAACCTCAACATTTTTTTAGCGTTGCCATGACCTCATAATAAGTTTATGGTAACATCTGGAATCTAGCAGTCCGGCGGGCCCACACAAGAATGACACGAATACACTTTATTTTGAATTTTTGATTACTCAGACAATTTTCTCCTTATTTATGGAACTCTGTCTTTCTCAATGTTATTGCTGAGTTTAGATATGTTGGAGAATCTGATGTGAATTACTCTTTGCGGTTTAGGTTGGAGCTGTAATCCGGTGTGCGCGAAGCGCTACCATTTCATAATCAAGGTCGATGGGAATTCCATTGGGGGCCATAACAAGTCTTGTGCTGGCTGTGGCGACCCCCTTCTTCTGTCGGAATCTAGGTGTGTGATGTATAAAGATTCCTAGTCTTCTGGGTTTCTTGGAATTGGTTTTTGTTCTCTTGATGAATGTTTTTTTCAAAGGTGCAAGTCCTGCAATTATATGGTGACCACGGAAGATGTGGAAGATTGGATGTATAATCAATTGGAGGATACAAGCCATCTTCTGCATGGCGTGGTCCATGCCAATGGTTACGGGCATCTTCTTAGGGTCAATGGCAGGGAAGGTGGCTCAAAGGTTCTTTCAGGTTGTCATATAATGGACTTTTGGGATCGGCTTTGCGGATTTCTTGGAGTCAGGTTGGTTAGCCTCTCATGAGATTTTGATCTGTTCCTGTTTTTATAGATTCATTGTCTAATTTGGGTTCTGATGGTGGCTCTTTTATTTGGGGGTGTGGGGTGATCAGAAAGGTTAGTGTCATGGATGTCTCTAAGAAATATGGACTGGACTTTCGACTGATTCATGCTGTAATCAAAGGGCATCCGTGGTATGGTGAATGGGGCTATCAGTTCGGGACTGGCAGCTATGGTCTTGATCACGATGCTTATAAGAGAGCTATCCAGAATCTTTCTTATATACCTTTAACGGTTTTCCTTTCTCAAGGACGCAAACCCCGAACACGAGTGCAGGACTTGATATCATTTTATCAATCCTTGTCTGAGCGCGAGCTTGTAAATATTAGAGACCTCTTTAGTTTTTTAATTAGTTTAATCCATGATGCCCACAAGTCTTGCTTGAGGGCTGATGATGAATCTAAGCGCAAGAAGCCCAAATATTGTGACACAATGGCCTTGTGCGCGTGGAGTACAAACGATGTTCTACGTGTCGAAGAAGCAATGTTTAGGGTGTTGAGAGCTGTTTCTGGATCCAAATGGGTTAGCTGGCGGGCACTTAGAGGTGCCGTATGCAAAGCTGGCCCCCCTGAACTTCTTGACTACTGCCTGAAAGAACTGAAGGGAAAACAGGCTGCTGATGGTATGGTTGTCAACTCCCGTTGTGTTTCAGGCTCTGGTGCTATGGAGTACAGGTTGGTTCCGTTCTATTATTGTTCATATTACTGCCATTATTATTAGTTATTATTAGTACTTACATTATAGTTAATGTTATTATTTTCATTAGTTTTTTTAGGGAAGTATATAGATTTGAATTTCTTCCTCCATATGCTCTTTGTCAATAGACTAATGCAGAAAGTTCCATCTTATTATTGGCCTATTTTCTGTTTGATTTCCTACTGATTTTTACGTTTGATATATAGGCTTGAGCCTGGCAGTGCCACAACCATGGTTAATGACTATACAAGACTGAATTATCCATCAGAAGAACATCTTCTGCGGGATTTGAAGTGCTTGTATGAGAGCATGCTCCATCCTCATACCATGGCCAGCCATTTGCACGTCAGTAAAAAGGATGTTATAATCCAGTCAGCTTCAATTCTTCTTGATTGCAAGAAATTCATGAAAGTGTATCAGTCTGATAATTTCTCAACACCATCCAAGCCTAATGCCATTCAGCTTCTATGCGAGTTGGATCTCGTGGATAGTTCTTCCGAAAGGTGTTTGGTGAAAAATACTCCGCCAGAGCTTCTGGTTCTATCTTCCAATGCCACCATACACGACCTCAAGGTTGAAGCCTCGAGAGCATTCCAGGACGTGTACCTAATGCTGAGAAGATTCCAAGTGGAGGAGCTAGTGGGGTATGCAGGCGTGGGGGACTCCACTGGGTTGAAACTTCTGTTAGGGTCAGCACAATGCGTGAGAGTCAGGGGGAGATGCCTAGGGAAGAACGGTCTGAGTAGGTTTAGAATGGAAAGAGGTCTTGAGAGCTGGACAGTGGAATGCCACTGTGGGGCCAAGGACGATGACGGCGAGCGAATGCTGGCATGTGACTCCTGTGGCATATGGCAACACACAAGGTGCGCTGGAATACCAGACATTGATAGCGTTCCTGCTCAGTTCAGTTGCGTCAGGTGCCGCCGTTTCATATTGGGCCGAGCCAAGACCGGGGGATTGCCCAAGGATGAGTTGGCTGGAACTGCCTCTGCATTTTGTACCGGTAAGGGTGGTCTTCTTGGGAAGGCCATGGCCAGAGCTTTTTGACATGTGCGCTGGGTTTTAAGTTTTGTTCTTTTTGTACATGTTCTCACTTGATGATCACCAGCACATTGGCTCCCAAGTTGATGTATTAACTTATTGACATGCAATGCATGCCATCATCTTGTGTATCCACCTCTTTGACACTAGCAGTTAGTTACACAATGTAGGAAGAAAGATATATAACCCCAACCGGTTAAGAACCCGTCCATGAACTGCGATTTTTTGTAGCGACTGTTTTGTATGACCCCAAATGGTGTGGCTATGTTCTCTCCTGTTTTCCCACACCAACACCATCACGTGCTTTAAAAGACTTATTGTTGCTTTGGGTACGATATGGACTGCCTCTGCTTCTTGTTTTTCCTTATACTATACCAATATGCTTCCTCCGCATCAATACTACTTTTTCTCTTCATTGAAATGCTTTCAAGTGGACTATGGAGCATTTTTTCTTTTTTGAAACTCTTCACAGAGCTTAATACAATTTTTTTCTGGTAGTGCAAGTTCTTTTAGCACTTTTTTTCTCTATCTTCAAATTATACTTTAAACCCAAGTGTTTCATTTAGTGAATATCTTTTTTGTTTGTTTTTTCTCCCTTTATCTTCAAAATAACTTCGTATTTTTATTATTGAATGTCTAAAAAATAAGTTTATAATTTTAATTTTTTCTTAAAGTAAACAAACATGTGGATTATATAAGTATATATTTATATTGATATGCATGATAAGTTTTATTGAACTGATTATTCCCCACTCTCTTTAAAAATCCCATATTTTATTTTCATTCACATCTTTCTCGTTACAAATTACATTTTTCTTGATCTTTCTATACAAAAGTATAATTAATAATATTAATGATTTGGTAAAATTTGAAGTAGGACTCAATTTCACTCGCTATTCTAACTTGATAAAAGTGTCACTTATTTGTCAATGACATGACAAATAATAGAAGAATTCAAACTGAAACTCGAAGTATCCCAAGAGGAAAATATATCTTTAAGAAACTTTATAAATTCTAGATACATTTCATAAGAGATATGTGTTTATTTAGAATATTACTATGTCACAGAAGAAACCTTCCACATAATCATGGTACAGATACGCAGCAACGCCAATCAACCCACCGGCAATCCTCACCAAAGGGAGACTATTGCCATCGTGGGCCGTCACCTCCCTATCAGCGTGACGGAAACTGAACTCCTCATCCAACGGATCCGGATCATGTCTGAGCAATTCAAGGAGGTGGTGGCGGCCTTGACCCTGAATAAGGAGATTGTGATCAACGACGTAACATGGGTGCAGGCCGGGGGGAGGCCGGACATGCGGGGTTAGAAGGGAAGAAAAAGAAGACACGATGCTCCTAGAAGAAGAGGGCGACCAAGTCCAAATGGGAAGGCTATGGTTGCAGACGATCTGTCGAGATTAGACGGCGAAGGTGATTCATCCTCGTTCGAGCGGGCTACAAGATAACCGATCGGCCCTGAAGGAGGATCTTAGGGAAAAGCTCAAGGAACTAAGGGAGGGATCCTCGGCTACGTCCAAGGCCCACTCACATGAGAGGCAAAAGTCAATCAGGGACAAGGACACGCTCGATCTCTAGAGGACGATCGGCCGATTGGATCTTAGTCGTCGTGCACACTCTTCCAAGCCGCATAATGCCTCTGTAGATGGGGCAAGGAGCGTCCCAATCTATCTTGCCAGAGGGGGGGTGGTTGGACATAAGCGCCTTGTTGGCCTTGCTAAAGTCATCATATAGGTTCGGAGGAATCGATGATGGCCTCACCATGGGCCAACTGCATTGAGGAAGACGACAGCAAAACTCGTAAGGGTCCAGTCCCTCTAGTCGTTAAAATTGATGGACTTGGGGGAAGAGACGGGTTCCGGTGAAGAAGGAGAAGGGCCGCCGGAAAGGTTTAGGGAGGTTGCCGCTTCTTCGGACATGACAAAAGGATGATGTGAGTACGCCAAAGGTTAGAGACAAGAGGATATGTTGACATGAGGAGGAATGAGCGGAGCAAGGCGATGGTTATAAAGCATGTAGGGCGAAGAAATCAAAAGGTCAAGATGGTCAATATGAAGGCAGCTGGATCGATAAAGTTAGCCTAAGGCAGAGGGCTGGCCCAATCACAGAATCAGACCGATGTGATTGGTCAGCTGGGCGGCACACTTAGTCGATAAGAGGATCAGGGCTGACGCGCTAGTGGGCTTAATAAGAAGATTGGACCAAGGTGTTGGGCCCAACATCGGTCTGGGCGAAGGAGAAAATGCAAACGGAAGGATTAAATCAAGCACTCAATATGCGGATAAGTTCAAAAATTAAGTCAAGCAATCGCCAAGCTATACAAATCCAACACAGCTGTAAAACCTTTGACACTTAAGAATTTTTACAAGTTCGAAAAAATGAAAAGACAAGGGTTGCTCGTTCAAATGCTAGCGTTGGGGTCTCCCTCACCACGGAGCTCAGCCTGGCCCGCCTCTTCACCCGTGGCAGCTGTTTGGGGAGCTCCCTCGCTTTGGTCGTTTTGGTTACCCTAGTCGCTCTGGCCAGCCTTCTTGCTCTCCTCCTCAGAGTTGCTTGAATCCGCCCCATCCTTGTAGGGCGCAGGGTCAAAATCCTTGAAGTCATTGCAAAGAGGGGGAGGCCAAAACCGGGGAGAGATGTTCCCTTGGGGAGCCGATCTAGCTTGCGGTGAAAGACCTTTTGAGCCTGGAAGAGCCCCATCCGCTCCATGGAGGTCGCGCTGAACTCCGGAGAAGCCTTGGAGGTCTCGACTGCCTCTTCAAGGCGATAGACTACGTCGCCCTTCTCGGCCTCCAGCTCGGCCACCCGGTCTAAAACTAATGCCACTTCAGAGGACAAGGAAACTTTCTCCTCTTCCAAGTGGGCGACTCGCGCCTGCAGGTTGCTCTTCTCTCTATGGAGATCGTGCTTTTCCTTCTCAAGATTGCTCTTGTCCCTCTCGAGCTGCCCAACACGGCATTGAAGGTTGGTATTTAGATGCCCTTCCTCTAGCAGCTCCCTAGTGAGGCGGTTGACTTTGTCTTGCAGTTTTTTTTTCTCGGCCGCAGACATCTTCCTCTCGTCATCTAGAGAAGATTCTAGATGGTCGCTCGACGGGCAAGCTCCAACACTCCAAGGGAGGCCTGCACCAAATATTGAAAACTTGTAGACACAAGACGAAAACAATGAATGGAAACGAATAATGGTTGAAGCATATACCTGGAAAAACTTGAAGAGGATCATGTCTGCTAAGTCCTGATTAGAATAAGTAGACAGATGGGCTTGGTCAGTAGAGGGAAGCGCGACCGTTGTCTCCACAGGAAACTCCTTCAAGCCCACAGACAGGCGGTGGGGCACGCAGAACCTTGTCGCCCCCGTTTTGATCTCCATGTCAATCAATGTTCATGACAGGAGGGGGGTCGACCAAGGAGAGAGGGAGCTCAAAAGGCTCACCCATGGTCACCCTAGATGTGGGCTGCACCAAGTGGTGATCTGCGTGGCGCCCGGACAGTTCTTCCCCACGGATCCTTTTGCTTGGGGGAGAGTTGGGCACTATCGTCTCCAGTCCCGCCACGGGAGTTGGTTCCTTTGGATCTTCTTCATCGATCACCACGTGATCGACCATGGAGTGGACCTCCTGGCCTGAGGACGGGCGTTGCAACTCTTCCCGGGAAGTTGCGTCCCGCTTTCTTTTCTGTCTCCTCTTTTTGCTTGAGTGAATAATACAAGGCGGTCATTGAGTGACTAATAAAAGATAATGATGGTGAAACAAGAGAGATTTAGTCTAAGGGGGCTTACCAAAGGGACCTAAATCATCATTCCTCTCGGGGATGCCCTTTAACAAGTTTGGTTGATGGTGATGATCATCCTTGACAAACTCGATCCCAAGCTTGGTCAGGCACTCCTCGGTGACCACTATCCTGATCTCGACGGATCCCCCTTGGCAGAGTTTCTTCTTCTCAGCCAAAATATTGCCTGTCACCGGTGGTGGCTTGACATGGCAAAATGAGGGATTTCGAGAGCCGGTAAAGGGATATTCTGGCCCGGTAGAGACAAAGACAAAAAAGGGCTCCCAATATTTAGTGGTCCCCTTCTTGTCGCTAGAAAAGAGCTTGCTCGTCTGTTGGGAAATGCAAGCATAAGAGGCCCAGTCTTAGTTCCCCTTCGCTAATTTGAAGGTGAACAGGAAATGGTATAGAGTGGGAGTCACCCCTGCATCCTGACACTTGATCAGGTAACCTGCTATGTACCTATGGGAGTTAGGGACTAACTAGCAGGGGAGCAAGATGCACAGTGAAGCAAGATGCACAGTGAAGAACTCCTTGGGAGCGTCTAGGGCAGTCTCGGTCTTGCTAGGTCTCCGAACCTCAATGGCTTGTCCAGCTATGTCGGTAGCATCGGCGAAGCCCTGATCCAAGATTTGGCAGTGGCACAAGGCCATGATATTCTCCTCGAGCTCAACCCTAGGGCCCAATAGCTTGGGGTGTGGGGAGGAAAAATGTTTCCTTAACCGCCGCCTTCCCCTACTAGATGGAGCTGCCGATGATGGCTGTGGCGATCCGGATGGGCCCCGAGCTGGACTAGAAGACGGGGCTGAGGAATCAAAATTTGAAGAAGACATTGTAGCAAAGGGGTAACTAACTTGGGAAGTACTGAAATCGGGTCAGGACGCAATTGCATTTTGGGTGAAGAACGATGAGGAAGGAGGCGCTCCAACAATGATTTTATCAAGTCTGAGAAGGAGACGAGAGGATAGATGATGATTGTTTTTCTGGGTAATTGAGCCAACTAACGCACGAATAATAAGGGACAAATCAGATCCATTGAGATGAGGGGTACGTGGACATCGAAAACTCTCCATTCTTCAACGTGGCCCGCCTGAGGGAATGAGGAGTTGGGTGGCTTATGATGGGCCGCTACCAGTTGGCCAGCCCAATCCGTGTGTCCAGGAGCATTTCGAGACTAGTGGATATTTAAAAATCAGCTTTGGACCGGAACGAGGCATTTTGCCCGAGCTGACCCGAGTGGAGGAGCCGTTGGCAACACGTTTGCAGGAAAGAGCCCGTGGCTAGGTTGCGGAATGGGAGCAATGAGATTTGGCTCGCATGATTCGCGAGAATTAGTTACTATATTTAATATATACCTTAGTTATGTAAATCGATATGTATAAATAGATTGAACCCTCATGGTGATCCTCAAGCTAAACTTAGCATAATACTTTGCAATTCTCAAGTTATCTGATCAATATTATCGTTCTTACGATCCGCTGCATACTCGGATATCTTGGTGGAATTCTTGAACATCAATATATATATATATATATATATATATATATATATATATATATATATATATATATATATATATATATATATTGATGTTCAAGAATTCCACCAAGATATCCGAGTATGCAGCGGATCGTAAGAACGATAATATTGGTTACTATATCTGATGAGGGGGAGATCTTGGAGGGCTCCAAATTTGGTTAAGGGGAAAAGGTTACGGCTCCAAATTTCCTCTATCAAAACTGATGAGGGGGAGATCTTGGANTATATATATATATATATATATATATATATATATATATATATATATATATATATATATATATTGATGTTCAAGAATTCCACCAAGATATCCGAGTATGCAGCGGATCGTAAGAACGATAATATTGGTTACTATATCTGATGAGGGGGAGATCTTGGAGGGCTCCAAATTTGGTTAAGGGGAAAAGGTTACGGCTCCAAATTTCCTCTATCAAAACTGATGAGGGGGAGATCTTGGAGGACAAAACTGAAATAGCTACTCATGCAATCAACTTCTTCTCCAAATTGTACAAAGCAGACTCTGTCTCTGACGACTCACACATCTTTAACTTCATCCCTAAAATTATAAATGAAGAGGATAACAAGCTGATCTGTACACTACCTCAAGGGGACGAGGTTAGGAGAGCAATTTGGTACTTAAATGAACACAGTGCTTCTGGCCCGGACGGTTATAATGGAGTCTTCTTTAAAACATTTTGGCACATCATCCAGCAAGAAGTGGTTAGGGCTAGCCAGGAATTCTTCTTGTGCCTACATGTCCCTAAATCCTATGGAGCCACACTACTTACCTTGATTCCCAAGGAGGACAACCCTAAAAGTTTGGGGGACTATAGACTTATCTCTCTCTCAAACTTCCTCTCCAAAATTAACACCAAGATTCTATCCAACAGATTGAGGGACCTACTGCCTAAACTCATCAGCCGTGAACAAACTGGATTCCAGGCAGGCAAGGGGGTGGATGAGAACATCTTATTTGCTCAGGAAATGATTCATTGTTTGGATAATAGCAGAGGGAGTGCCAATGTAGCTATTAAGGTTGATTTATCCAAGGCTTTTGATAGACTCTCTTGGAAATACCTTGAACAGATTCTTCTTTCCTTTGGGTTCAGCCATACTTCTTGTCATCTCCTCCTGGAAACACTTAAGGCCACGCACTTCTCTATTCTCATTAATGGTGTCTCTCAGGGCTTCTTCAAAATGGAGAGGGGTATCAAACAGGGGGACCCCCTCTCTCCCTTGCTCTTCATCCTTGGCAGTGAGGGTTTAAGCAGAATGATCAAAGCTAAAGTTGCTGAAGGATTTCTCAAAGCTTTCAATACGGGGAGAACTCCACCTCCTTCACACTTAGCTTATGCAGATGATATCATTTTTTTCTTAATGGACATTGCAGGAATTTATTAAAATTCAAGGGACTTTTGAATATGTTTCTGGCAGCATCTGGACATCAAATTAATCTCAGCAAAAGCCACTTTTACACAGGAGCTAAGGTTAATCATGCAATCAAGAGCAATATGGAGAGGACACTTGGAATGAGAGAAGGGAAGCTGCCAATTTCTTACCTGGGAGCTACCATTGGCAAAGGAAAGATGAAAAAGGCACACTGCAAGAAAGTTATTCTTCACTTTGACTCCTACCTTAATACATGGTTTAGTAAGGTGCTCAATCAAATGGGGAGACTGATTCTTATCAAACACGTGCTAAGCTCAATTCCACTCCACATCTTGGCAGTCCAACATATGCCCAAATCCGTTATGGACATCCTAAATAAGAAAATGCAGAACTTCTTCTGGGGATACAGGGATGGGAAACCCAAATACCACTGGAAAAACTGGAGAAGTATGTGTTATCCCACCATTGAAGGAGGGCTTGGAATTAGGCACCTTGAGGATATAAAGGCAGCCTATTCTACAAAACTTTGGTGGAAGCTTCGAAATAATGGAGGTATATGGGGGGAGTACATGAGGAGCAAGTATTGTATCCAATCGTTCAGTGAAAGAGCAACTGACTCAGTTACTTGGAAGAGAGTCTCTAGAATTCACAACTGGGCATATCAACATGTTGACATATCTGAGGGTTCTGAGGCATGGGAAGGGGAAGAATTCTCTACCAAAGCTGCATATAATGCTTGGAGGGACTCAAATCCAATCTCAATTTCTTGCAAGATGATTTGGGATAAAACCCAAATACCAAAGATCAAACTCTTCCTTTGGAAAGCTTTCAATAACCTTCTTCCATTCCCAAATAACATGTCCAGATTCAACATGGCAATCCCTTCAAGATGCAACTTCTGTAAACAAGGCACTCAGGACTCTAACCACACTCTCCTTCAATGTCCATACTCTCTGAAAATCTGGAAATTCTTCTCCACACTGTTCCAGGGCCCTCCCATCAACAATACATGAAGTATGTATGAACTGGTGGCTAGTCACTTGTAGAACCAAGATGCGGGAGAAGCTCACTGCCAACCTCCCAGGATTCATTGTGTGGGGCCTGTGGAAAGCATATAATGCAGAGAAATACGAAGGAGAAGCGTTTAAGGAAAGCAAGATCATATTTAACATTATGACAACGATTCAACAGTGGTGCTGGGCACATCGTAGAAAGAAATGGATGATTATAGATGAAGATATGAGAACTATAGGTCTTCAGTCTTCTATTCGTAGAAGAATATTCCCCTAGTTTTCTCTATTGTAGCATCATTGTCGTACTTTGGCTGGGAAACTTGTTTTATCCCACCCGCTCTTGTTTGTAACCTCTTTCGTATTCCCTTTAATAAAATACCAATCTATTTAATATATATATATATATATATATATATATATATATATATATATATATATATATATATATATATATATATATATATATATATATATATATATATATATATATATATATATATATATATATATATATATATATATGGTGCGGTTCCTATGAGAATGACTCTTGTGGAGAGAAATGAGAATGAATTTTATCCGTTAGATGCACTAGATCTTGCGGCTGTCTTTTTTACAATTAGTGGGCCGCAATTTACATCTAAATAAGGTTGGTAATTATTAGGGTGCATTTTTTGAGGCGCGTTCCATTGGAGGGTCATTTCCGTCATTCACTTATGCTTTATTGGACGTGCGCCTATTATGAAGCCGCCATTCCCGGTTACCAAAATTAAAAAAATTCTTCTCCCATACCAATTTTAAAGCTATAGAGTCCTTACAAAACTCATTCTCGAGCTTTGCATCTAAATTTTGAGCACGTTCACCGGAGTAGGAAGTGGTAGCGATGGCGAGCAACGACGATGCATCCCTTGCCGGAAAATCCATGGTGTTCTTGAGGAGGACGAAGAATGCAACTTCCCGGAAAGGTACTGTAATTCCTTTTTTTTTGCGTTTTTTGGGGATTTTGGGGGTTTAAATGGTTTTTAGGGTGTTACTAGCAATTGTGTGTGTTGGTTGCATCGTTGGGTATGATTTGTAGGTGAGAGATGCTTCGGTAGTGAGGAGATGCAATTGCATGTCCATTAATTTCTAGTGCATTTTGGAAATTCGTTCTATTCCTTCTACTCTTTCGCCTAATAGGTTAAATGATCTTACTTGCATGTATCATTCTCCCACTGTTTGTGTTGCACTCTGTACAATAAGAATTGATGGTAGTACGAATCTGAGAAATTAGGGTTGCTGGTTCGTTTATACTGTGGCCCTATAGAGGTTTGGGATTTCTTTACATGAACAGAGTGTTTTGGGTGTTTTGCGTTCGTGCATTTCTTCCTAACTGTTTTGCATCAGTAGACCAAGTTGATTGCATATTTTAAAAAGTGCATGTTCAGATTCTGGATTCTAATAGAGAGTGAAATTTGATGCATTTGATTAGTTATGTGAGAAATTAGGGTTGCTGGTTGCTTTATGTTGTGGCCCTGTAGAGGTTTGAGATTTCTTTAAAAGAACAGAGTGTTTTGGGTGTTTTGTGTTTGTGCATTTCTTCCTAATTGTTTTGCATTTGTAGACCAAGTTGATTGCATATTTTAAAAAGTGCATGTTCAGATTCTGGATTCTAAGAGAGAGTGTGAGAATTTGATTAGTTGTATTGATGCATTTCTGTACTCTTGGTTTGCATTAGTTGGCGATTTTGTTTGCATAAATGGAATAAAAGGTATTTAGAGATTTAGGATTTTTTGTAATGTGGTATGGTTTGTATTTTTTTTAATTCTGTGACTTTAAGTTGCATCTTGTAAAAAAATGCATATTTTTAGAGTAAAAAAGATGTTTTGTATTCTTGTTGTGTTGAAATAAATTTGAATTAGTTGCATTAGTATTTCTTTGAATGTCAAAATACACAGTATTGTTTGGATTGGGGATGATACAAATCGATTTGTATTCGTGTCTCATTTATAGGTCAAGGTGTTGGCGAGGCACAAGCGGCAGGGCTTGGGGAAAATGCTAATGATGTTAATGAACAAGTTGACATCTTTTCTAACAGTGAGAATGGTTGTTTTTGGAGTGCAGATGATTTGTGATAAATTTGCAGACCATAAATCTGAAAATACATTGCACTGTGATAATTCTCATTTTTTATGTTTGAGTGTTCTTTTTTTTTGTATGATGAAGGACTGCCTGCTCAGAATGCTGGAAGGGTAGAGAAGGTCAGTGGCGGTAAGGGTTCAAGATCAATGTCGTTCGCAACACCAATTCGCTGTAGTGATCGGTTGAGGAACGTGAGATGGAGGATTGAAAGAATCAATAAGCCTGTGCGCATGGAGATTAATGATGATAGTGACAGTAACTTGGATGATCAGGAAGATCGGAAAGCCTTTAATGCATTGCGTTCAAAGTACTGTGCTTGCATCGTTTTGGCGGAGGTGAATGAGATGAAGGAGGAGAATATGACCAAGGCAAAGAATTTCGTGGCAGCTTGATGTTGGAAACCAAACATTATTTAACATTTGCAGCATCGTCTTTGGTGCTTTTGTACACCGTTTTTTTTTGTTTTTGGAATTGGGTTTTTTATTGTATTATGGTTTTATCTTGTTTTCAACACTAATATCATCGATACGAATGATCCGTTGGTGATAGATAGTTTTGATCGGTTTTGGGGATTGATTGTTTCGGTAAGATGGTAATGGAGTTATTTGCATTTTAATTAGGAATGGTTTAGGTCGTGTGTTTTTTGATGACTTGTTTGTACATTAAGTATTAACCAGTGTTAAATATGGTTTGGGTGGGATGCATTCTAGCATGGAAGAAGGGTGCATTCTTCAACGTACTGGAATGCAGTGTATTTATCAATAAATGCGCCCTATACCACAATTGTTTTGAACCATATGTTTACATTACATGAGTGAAGAGCATAGTAGTTATGCAGTATATTTGTAGTATACAGCATTCATCATAAAAGATTGGAGAGCGTGAGATATACACAAGCGCAAATTCACACGTTGAATGCATTGCAACGAATTGCTTGATGCTTAATAATCGGAATAAAATGCTTTTTTATATTTGAGACAAAAGACATTGGTAAGTGTATATATAAGTATGAGTTTTGCTACAAGAGGAAATACTTTAATAAGATAATTCATTACTGTTTATTCAGTGAGCAATTTCTACTATCATGGTATCCCATCTCACGGCAAGTTTTACACATTCGCTTGTTCTTGTTTCCTTGCTCTATGCTAATCTCAAAAGCGCTTTTGATTCTCTTCCCACCACCCTTGTTGTGTACTTGTTGGGGGGGAGTATAGTAATGTTTGATGGTGCAGATGTGCCATAGAATNGAATAAGATTATACTAAAGTGCATTTTGGAGGATGTTCTTTTGTTGTCGAATGACCTTTGAAAATCCATCCAATAAGTCTGGTTTTTGTTCGGTAGCTGCAACACAGTAGTGAATATCCGACCACAAACGGTTCAATACTGTTTTTTTCCCTTCAACAGCTGTAACGACATCAAAATCGATGTCGGGGATGTTGATCATGGGCTTCAACAATTTTGTTTTACACCATCTGGGGTTGATATAGAAATATGGAATCTTACGAATGTTCTCATCCTTGAAAACTAAAAATATGTGTCTGCATAATAATCCAATGCGCATGTAGTGCTTACAGCTGCATATTGCAGTGCCTTGAATGCGTGAGTATTCGACGGTGAATGTCATACCCCTGTTGTCCTTGACTAAGTATTGGTTGTGTTGGTCGTCAAGTTCTTCGAATTGAAGTACTCGGCAAGAGAAGCATGCTGCACAGATCTCGGCTTGAACATCGTAGGAAATAGTCAATGTGTAAACCGAGGATGCATGCTTCTCAATATCCAATGGAGTTTTAAACTCTGGGTAGCATGCTTCATCGTCTGCATTGTAGTCTGCGTTTTTATGACGTTGAGAGTCCATGGCACTTTCAAACTGCATAAGAAGCTCCACCAGGCTAAAATTTTGCCCTGTAAAATCATCAAAAAAACTGTTCTCACTTTCGGAGCGAGAAGTTGTACGCAGTAATCCTCCCATGAACAAATCTCTAAAGTATGCCGGAATCCACGTTGTTCGTATCTGAAAAATTTTGGTAAACCACTTGTGAGATTCTAAATTATATTCGGCCATGAGATTTTGCCACTGCGTTTCAAAATCATCTGGCTCTAGATAGTGACTCCAGACGATGGCGTTGAGTTTGGACAAAAAATCTGCATCCTTAAGCAAATTGTCATCCACTTTCTTAACAACCTTTTTCATGATGTGCCACATACAATAACGGTCAACGGTTCCTGGAAATCCCTGTTTCACAGCACCTCGAAGAGAAGGGTCTTGGTCAGTAATGATACATTTAGGGGCATTACCCATTGCATTTAGAAAACAACGGAAAAGCCAAGCATAAGATTCATCGTCTTCTTTGTTGATCAACCCAGCAGCAAATGTAATGCATTTTTTTATGATTATCGACGCCTGTGAATGGTGCAAATATCATATTGTACCTGTACAGAAAGAGTTAAAAATTTCATGGATGAATGAAGACGTGAAATACTACTGACGAAAAAATTAATAAACTAACAAGTAGATTGAATATACAAGAAACACATGAGAAGCGGAATGCACGTGCAAAGTACCTGTTGGTCTCATAAGTCGCATCAAACGAGACTACATCACCAAACATGGCATAGTTTTTCCTAGAAACAGGATCACACCAGAATAACCTTGTAAGCTGGTCGTTATCATCAACGTCGTATTCAAAGTGAAATGCAGAAAAAGTCTCGTGTTTTCTAAACAGCTTGTCGATAGCCATTTGTGCATCCCCACCGGCAATGTAAGCTTTGAGGTCTCGTCTAAAATTCTTAAAGTCAACAGCCGTGGCTCCAATATTATCGTAACCACCTACAGACTCTTTGAAAAGGCAGTAGGACTTCATTATTCCAATATTAGCCTTAACACAATTCAACATGAATTTCTTGTGACCAATATCTAGATTTCAGTTTACTTTTAAGAAAGGCCTTGAAGGAGCGGAAAGCATAGAATGATTGTGACATTCTTTGAAAGAAGTGATAGAATAACCGACTGACCTGGACAATCTAAATATTACACGTGCCTTGCATCCGATGCGGTTTGATATGCATCTTCTTTTTTTTGGAATGGAGTCTGCAGCATCTTGAACTGGAGTCTTAGAAGTGACAAAAACATTCTTTTGACCCTCTCTATTACAGACAACATACTGCCATATAATCACACCGTCGGGAGACTTCGTTGTCGTGCTTTTTCGTGCATCAAAGCTGACGAGCGCTGCATATTCTCTGTAAAATGCAATTCCGTCATCTAAATTTCTAAAAACCATACCAACACTTGGTTTGGAGCTTTTTGGGCAGGGAGGAGCAAATCCACTATCGCATCCGGCTTGACTGAAATGTTCCGTTGAAGAATCCGACTCTGTGTGTAGTTGTAGAGACGGATTAGAACACAATTTGATGTGGGAAAATACATGATATAAAATGAATTTGGATCCATGAATAAATTGAAAACGGATTAGAGCACAAACCTGAATCCGGATCCATGAACACGGCTTCGGAATATGGCATCCTCAAATTTAAGTGCCGATGTTTTGTGATATTGAAACGAGATGATTTCTGCGTTTGGGTGCGGTGGGAATAGAAGGAGAAGGTTGTTGTATTTCACCATCTTTAACAAGGAAGGAGATACGTGCGCTGATTCTTCGGGCGAGGGAGACGGAAAAAAGGAAACAAAACTAGGTAAATAAGGGGGGAGAGTCGAAAGTACCATCTAGCCCTTGTGTGTTACATTAGATGAGTATCAAGATGGAGGGACCAGATTCATTCTCATTTCTCTCCTAAGATCTCATTCTCACCAGAACATATATATATATATATATATATATATATATATATATATATATATATATATATATATATATATATATATATATATAAAGTAATAAAAATAATACTCCCTCTACTTATAAACAAACAATTTATGGTGTTAGACTAATTTAAGTTATAACAAATTTAATTTATTTGAGTTGTGAAGTTATATTAAAAAACAAAACTAATTACATATTTAAAAACTATATCAGAAATTTTATAAAGTAAAAGGTGATTTCATTTTTCAAATTATTTGCCCAATATATTAAAAAAATTCAAATTAAATACTTGTGTGATATGTAGTCCGTAATCATTGAAAAACTTATATGTTTCAAATCTTTCTAGAAAAACAAAAAAATTAGAATTTATATTTTTTAAACTAGAGTATATTTCACATTGTAAGCAAGTGTGTTACAATAAACATTCGAGTTAAGATGGTGAGAACCTTAACATAATCTATAGGGGTTTAGGGGTTCAATACATCATGGATGTGTTTTTTCAAAAAAAAATTGTGGAAAAAAAATGGTTCACTGGTTTAACCAACGGTTCTTACCAATTTTGACCGGTTCGATGCTAGATGCCGTGTAAAGGGCTGGACTGGACTGATTAAGCCACCGGTTTGCTAGTTCCCGATCAGAACTAGTTGGTCCGGTTTGGTCTGATTTTTAAAACTATGAATGTGATGTTTTAACTCGGAACACTATTTCTAAAAAATTATTTCCAGTGTATATACAAAAATGCTTGGAAAGCTCCACTTTTTGATACCATCTTTTTTTTATAGACAGAAAAATAAAAATTATGCGTGCTTCACACACACAATTATTATTTATGTGTGTTTTTGAAATACATTGTGCCAAATAGTGTATAAAAGGTGAGGTTTCTCGAATACAACTCCTGCTCCAATTTTGGTGGTTAATGGATTGGTTTATTCGTACTCCGTGGAAGAAGGTTTTCATGTTTGAAATGAGCCATTAACATTTTTGATGATATTATTTTCGATTACTTTTTTTTGTATGTTCAGTCGCAACCAGCCATATACCAGTATTTTAATGATTCACACTGACACAAAATATTAGTTTAATAAAAAAATTGGTATAGGCATTTAATGTCAGTGTAACCATCACATTAACATTAAACTAGAACAAAATGTTGGTGGTTACATTTGGAGTACAATGTGGGGCACAATTTTTTTGGGTACACATAATTTTTATAACATTAACCTCACTGTGCTTTTTTACTCCCTCCACATCGATTTAAAGGCATTGAATGCGTTATACTAAAATTATTGCTCCCACATCCTAAAGATATGTTCCAATTCTAATTTGGGATGTTATACTAAAATTATTTTTAATTTAATTATACAAAAATATAGAATTACATAATATTCCGTTATAATTATATACTTCGTATTAAAAGTTACAAAAAATATAAAAAACAAACGTTGATGTGTTTATATTATTTCTTTAAATGAGTAAAAAAATAAATGAATAGATATAATCTGACCTTCCAAATAGCAAATGAAAACTTCATTTTATGATGAAGTAATATTACTTCGTGATTATAAAAGTACCAAAAATATACTCCCTTTGGCCTACTTTCCAAATTCATTTACATTGTTCAAACAATGCCCAAAATTCATCTTTCTAAAAAAATTATTTTATCTATAAATTGGTATAGAAATAAAAATTACAAATTACGTATTTAAAAACTACATTACAAGCTCTACAAAATAAGATTCGACAAGACTATTTTATTTTATCAAATGACCAATGAAAATATACGAGGAAACAAAATTTATCGATAGTCTTACATAGTAAAATTGTTAATTATTTTAGAGCAAAAGGAGTATTCTAAAGTAAAGATACTAGATTTACATTATACTCCGTAGTTAGTTTGTGAAGTGTTTAACCAAGAAAAGTTTGGGACGAATCAAAACCACATGGGTATGAGCTTTTGCGTAGAAGAGTTTCTTACTTCTTTTACCACTTTGGTAGTTAATCCAAAGAGTTTTCAAAACATAGCTACATTTACATTTGACCGATAATAGTATCCTCTTCCGCATTTCCATGTCTAAGCTAATCAGTTAGCAAAAGAATGCAAGAGTTTTGAAATACCAGGAACAAACATGCGTTCGTTAAGAGATTTTAGAACTAATTTAATACATATATGCTTCTTTATCTGCAGCGGCTGCTTAATACGGAGTATATGGTTTCTCCGTGCAAAGATATCATTACAACAGAACAAAAAAAATATCTGTTTTGGGAACCACAATAAATCACCATTGATCCCAATGATTGATGAAGTCATTCCACATGTCAGCAGCAATTATGTCGCGCAAGTCGTATCCCATCTGCTCTTGATCGTGGGGAAAAGCGAGCAGCGGATCAAGTTGGTCATCTACGTCGGGAATTTCTTCAATTGGTGACCCATCAACCTCATCAAACAGCCAATCGTTCCTCTCTTCACTTCGAATGAAATTGTGAAGAACACATGCTGCGATGACAATATCCCTTTGCGTGTGAAAAGCATATTGAGTAGCAATGGTGAGGATGGGAAATCTTGTTTTTAGGACATGAAATGACTTCTGAATAGCAATCCCCAATGATGCATGACGGTTATTGAACAACTCTTTCGCATTCCTTGGCAATTGATTAGCACCTCCGTATTCATGGAGGCCATAACGAACTCCTTCAAATGGTGCAACAAAACCCTCAGAATTGAAATAGCCCGCATCAACAAGATAGTATTTCCCTGGCAAAATGGACAAATACTTACATACGAAAATATTAAGCAAACGAGTAAAAAAAAGAAAGAAATACACATCGCTTCAAGTACAATCAACCACCTTCAGGAATTGGAGGAAAGTTCTGATCTGGATCATCAAGAACGGCTCTTAATACACGTGAATCGGCAGCTGAGCCTTCCCAACCAGGATAGACAAATATGAATTGAAGATCAAAAGTGCAAGCAGCCAACACATTTTGTGATAAGTATCCTTTTTTGTTGCGAAAACGAGATTGATCCTTGGCTGGTACATGAGCAGGAAGGTGCAAACCATCTATTACACCAATGCAATCCTGAAGATAGATCCACTTAGCTATAAAAAAATATTTATTTTGCAAGAATTGAAAAATGAAAAACACAAGAAGCAAAAGACCTTGAAATATGGATAGAACCGATTGTTTCTAAAGATCTCAGGAGGAATGTCGAGTTGTGGAGGCTGAAGGAACTCCCGCGACAATGACTTAAGAGCCTTCAGTACATTATTAAAGTGCCTGCTTATCGTTTCACCAGAATGTTGGAAACGTTCTTGAATAACTCTGTTGCGTTCACTATGGCCAACAATACTCAAAAAGATTGCCAGCTGCTCCTCTATACTGACACCAGATGTGTCACGCAACATGCCTCTTTGTCGAAGAACATCACATAGCTTTTGGAAGACATGCTTATCCATCCTAAGCATATCCCTGCACACATCCTCGGGGCCATTGAGTAATTCAGCCATGAACCCAGACCCTTTAGAGGACAAAGCATGACTAGGGTTCTTGCTTATACAATTGTAGTAGTAATAACCAGCAGCCGCTGCAACTAACGACATTTCATCCAATTCTATGTCAACATCATCCATGCCTGTACTGATTAATTTCAGCAGAGTTCATATACGAACATTTCAAAAAATAATGATACTCTAGAACAAAACAATGTATGAGAAGGAAATGAAGTCATAGGGTAGCATGCAGATACATAGTCACTGCTTTATGAAAGTTAATTAATATTTCCTTATATTAAAAGTTGATTACTTGATGTGTTAGGCATGAACTGAAAATGTATTACAACAACAAAGTCGGCTACATGGATCAAACGGCGCCATTGCGCCCTATCATGTATCATATCTGCTGTGAGATCATTCACGCGAAGGTCCCCCTTTGACCACTTCTTGCGAATGAAAATGTATCAAGAAATGAAAATTGAATTGTTATGTCAGAGCATTTGTTCCAATAAATGAAGAACGAGTGAAAATAAATAGTGTTAATAGTTAACGAGCATGCACATATAAAAAAAGTGAACCAAGTTTTAAAACAGAAGATAAGACAATATTCAGTAGTGCCCTTCAAAATTAGGGTTCTATGCAGCAAAACAAGGTTCAAACAAACCAGTAGTGCAAACCAAAACAAAATACTAACTTTGAGCTACAGAGGGCAGACACAGCTAGCTAAGCATTAATTTCTTTGTACAGAGGGAGATCATTATTCACTAGACCACTATATCGGATAAAAGAATACCACCATTGCTATGTACAAATTTTACGACATTGTTCTACAAAATCAACCTAGCTTCGTGTGCGCACTAAGAATTGACTCATACCACCAACAAGGCCTAGATTAACCACGCCTGATACTACACTCCAGTCTTATCAATTATCATACGAAGAAATTGAAGCAATTACACAAAAGAAAGCAAATGTGAAGCAAGAACAGCTAAACCTGGGGAGAATTCGGGCGGGCAGAAGCAACGAAGAAGGGACAAGAAGTCAGGGGCTTCGGGCTCAGCCGCACAGGCACCAGTGGTGTTGGGAGAGAAGCGAGCGAAGGTGGAGAGTGTTTTTTCCAGGCAGAGGGAGTATGTTTTTGGCTATTGCCTATCGGTGCCTTTGGGTGGTCACAAATCTCCGGATTAGGGTTTTATTTTCGAATTAACATTTCTTATATTCATTTTAATTGTTTCCTTTAAATTCCAAAATTTGAATTTGTAATATCAAATGTTAGGACTAAAGGGAGGAGTATCCTCCCTCTCTTTCCCACAGTCATCTTTTTTCGGGTCCAATACACAAATTCTCCTTTACTTCTTCCCATTTCTTACATCAAAAGAACTCCTAAAATTTTATTATTTCTTATTCACAAAATTAAACCCAATCCATTTATATAATTAAAAATTGAAAAGGTTCCCACATGGCTTGGAGGGAATGGCCAGTCTTTTTCTCTTTCTCTTCCTCTCCGCGGAAGACTCCCCCTCCCTGCTTGTCTTGGATACTGCCTAGGAGATGAACTTCTCCTTCCACTTCTCCATCCAATGAGTAAACCTCTCCATGAGAAGTACTTCTCCCCCATTCTCCTCAATCCAATGTGGATGATCTTAAGGAGAAGTATGTCGATTTGTAATTTAACTTTGTTTTAAATTAGAAAAATTTATTTTCAATTTAAATCTAAATTTTTAAGATTCTTTTTAAAAACAAAGTACTCTTCTTTATTCACCAAAACTCCAAAGAGTGTACAAAACTAATATCCGTATGACACCCTATTACATATTCTGGATTTTCATACTATTGTTCATTATAGCTTGAATATGGTATTTAATAGTAGCTATAGCCTCTAATTGTCTTTCATCACTTTCTAGTTGAGTTTGGTGTTCATGCTTTCTAAATTATAAATACTTTCCTCATTATGAGTCGGCTTCATCTTCTTTATGGTAATCCCCATTTCTTTTAAAGCTTCTCATTCAACCTTACACTTCAGTCATCCAAAAATTTCTACATGCACTCTAATAGCATAACTACACTTGCAAAATAAGCGAGTTATATCCTCTTCATCTTTCTCACACAACAAACAACTTGTGTCAATGTCCAAGAACATTTTCAATTTCATTCTTATTTGGAGTCTCCCTAATGATCACCTAGAAGATAAATTTGTGCTTAGATATACCTCATTTGCACCAAACCTACTTGTACCAATATGGGGTTTCCTTTGAACCTAGCATCCAACCATACCTCTTATGCACCTCATACTTTTAATTATTACTCATTCCATCAAATTTCTGTCTAACTTTGATCATTCTTCTCTAGTAATGACAGTAATTTGATTTGGAAATATAGCCCCAAAAGTGGATATTCTTCAAATATCTAGCATGAATCCACTTAACCAATATAATTTTCTTGTTATTAGCTTTGTCCCAATTCATTTTCATAATTGTTGCCTTCTCCCAAAGAGACATATTTCTAATCCCAAGCCCCCTGTCTTTTTTGGTAAACAAATACTCCCTCCATCCCATATCTTTCTTCTCACTTTCCTTTTCGGTCAGTCTCACTTGTTTCTTCTCGTTCCCTTATTTGGCAAATAAAATATACCTAAAAGACTAACTTACCTTCCTCTCACTTGTTTCTTTCTTTCTTGACCGCCCCATTCTTTTTCGTCCCCACCCATTTCTTCTTTTCTTTGCCAACCCCCTCTGCCCCATCTTCTTCCTTGGTCAGGTTTTCTGAAAACATGACAAAAATTGAATACCACTTGTGGTAATTAATGTCCAACATGGTTTTCAATTTCTGACTTTTGGTTCTTGTTTTTTGGGTTTTAGGTGTTTGGCGTTGGCTTCCGACTTAATCTTTAGTTCTGGTCAGGTTTTCTGAAAACCAAGTCAAACATTGAATACCACAATGGCAATTGATGTTTAGCTGGTTTTTGGTCTTTGGCTTTTAGTCTTTGGATTTTGGGTTTTTGGCTTCTGTAATGTTTTTTGACCCTCATTCAACATTCTTTTTTCAAACTTGGTTTTTGACCCTACAACCCACCTAACATCGAAGATCATTGTCGCTAATCGATGTTCAGTGACCAATCTTGGTGTTTGATCTTTGGTTTTTTGACTTCAAACCATCAACAATTTTTGAATTTGGTTTTGGTCTTGGTTTTTGTAATTTGACTTTTAAAATACAAACATCGTCTATCACGATTGGTAATCAATGTTCTTCAGCCTTTCCTTCCCGTTGGCTTTCGAGTAAGTTTTTGACATCGATGTTGGTTGTGGAACATTGATATTCCTCGTGACTGTTGGCTTTCATTAAATACCAAATTCTTTCCTATTTTGAAAGACAATAAATAAAACATCAATGTTGGGGTTTTGAACATCCATGTTCTTGTGACCGATAGCCAACCCAACAACTCTTTTATCTTTGCAAAAGAATAGTCAACTATTGGATCATTAATGTTGAGGTTCAAATATCAATGTTTAGGGTATATTCAGTAAAATAACCTTATGTTATTGAATCAAATCAACACCAATCAACCCCAATTTTTTTCTTAGCTTTTGAGAGCCATTTCTTGAATAATTAAGTGTGCTCTTGTACTTAAATTAGTCTACTCAGATTCTACTCTTGAGAGAGTATTATTGTTCTTAAGTGCTTGAGTGTTGTAAATAGTTTGAGGGAGGTTTTTTTCCTCATTAGATCGAAAGAAAGGCATATTCCTTTGGTGAGGTGTTGAGGCTTGCGTGTCTTGAGTTCTCAAGTTGTAAATTGTAATACCCCAAGTAGTGCAATCCAAAAAATAGGTTATCACACTGGGTTGATACTAAATTGGTATCTATATACAAAATTTTCGAAATAAATTAAAATCAATTAATTTAGAGTCTAAATATTTTAAAACAACTTAAACATTTATCGGAGTTAAATCATAACACTGCGGAAGCTAAAGTGTTACTTAAATAAATATAATCATTGAATTATTTACAGAAAAAAATTCACATTATAAACCACCAACTCCATTAACTTCTTGAATCCTGCATCTGTATATCTCTTTTATCTTCCTGCCCTGTGGGATCAACTTTGTCTCTAACATCAATTTACCTGCGTATAGTCAAAACATCAATAACTACACACTCAACGATGATGCTAGGTGAGAAATTGTTAGAATAAGTGCCCTTCACTAGAGGGGGGTGATCACTGAGGCACGAGAATATTTAACAATTATTGCGGAATAAAAATTGTAGTAGAAAATGTCAAGTAGCAAAGGAAGGAACATAATGATATATAATGGTTCACCACAACTTGTGGCTAATCCAATCTCCAGAGTGACTCTCTCGAGCTACAATACTTCTGTTAAGCTTAAGGATGCTTAACAAACCGATACAACTTGAGAACTCGAGTCACACGGGCCTCAACAATGCTTGCTTAGAGATACCGCACTCCAAGACTTCAACCGAAGGAATATACTCTTCCTTCAAATCTACCAAAGGGAAAAAACCTCCCTTAAAGTGTTTACAACACTCAATCACTCAAGAACAAAACTCTCAAAAGAGTAGAATATGAGTAGACTAGTTTAAGTACAAGAACACACTTAATTCCTCAAAAATTGGCTCTAAAAAGCTATGCAAAATATGTTGAATATGATGCAATGTAAACCATGATTAAAGAGAGGAATAGTGTGTTAAAGTAGAACTAAGAGAGCCCTTTTTATAACCAAAAATAAGGTGCAATGGTTGGGAGAAGATTATGGTTGATTGGCTTGATTTGTGGAAATTAAATCAAACTTGGTCTACTGAAAAATAGGCTAAACATTGAGGTTCTAAAATGAACATCGTTTTTTTGATGGTTGACTTTTAAAAAAAGAAGGATTTGGTCATGAATGCACCACAACGTTCATATGGAAATATCAATGTTCATGGGTAAACATCATTGTTCCAAAAGCCTCTGTTTTAAACACGTTGAAAGCTAACTCGCAAAATAGGCATGTTCAGTTAGCAACATTATTGTTTGAAACCAAAGAATGGATGTTAAGTTTAAAAAATCATTGTTTGAAACCAAAACATGGATGTTTAGTTTAAAAAATCATTGTTTGAAACCAAAACATGGATGTTTAGTTTGAAAGATCGCTATTAGCAACTGAAACATGAATATTTAGTTGTCAACATTTGTGTTTGGGCTGGTTGGCAAGATTTTGAAAACCAAGTTCAAAAACCTTTTCAAAAACATTTTGTAAGTTTTGAAAACACTTTTAAAATTATTTCCAAAGCAAGAAAAAATTATTTTGTTTAAGCCAAGACTTAGAACAATTAAATGTGGACTTGTTTACAATAAAGTCCTAAGTCTCTTGTCTCAACTTCAAAACATCTACATCTTTCCTTGTGATTTTTGTTCTTTAAAGAAATCTTTCCATTGCATTTGAATTTCTTCATTTAGTTCCATGTTCACGGTGATTTATCAATATCAAAACCTACAAAATGTCATTAACAAAACGTCAATGTGAAAGCGCATTCAAACAATTCTCACCTTTTTGATAATAACAAAGCAAGGCGGGGATATGTTAGACAAATGTGCAACTCTAGAGGGGGGTGAATAGAGTTGTTTTCAAGAATGTGCGTTTTTCGCGTGTGTGAAATAATAGAATTGCAGGAATAAAATAAAGAGAGTAAGAGAAAGAAGAACACCGAGATTTATACTGGTTCACCACCTCGTGGCTAATCCAGTCTTCCGAGAGACTCTCTCGAAAGTCCTACTAATCTTCAAGCTTCAACGGGTGCTTGAAAAACCAGATGTTGAACTCTTGAACTTAGTGTGTTCGGAGTGAAAGAATGTTGTTGTTCTGAACTCAGTGTGTTCAGAATTCTTGTTGTCTCAAAAGAGATTGAGTTTACAACACAAGAATGAAAGCTCACACAATTGAGCAAGTAGTGTTTGAAAGATTTAAGCTCTATGGATGACAACTTCTTTAGCACTCAAAGAAAATATTTCCAACTCTCAAAAATAATATTTTGATGAGGAAGATGAAGCAAAGGATGAATATAGCTCAAAGAATATATTGGAGTGCAAGAGGTGTGTGTTGAAATGAAGGAGAATGAGGGATTAAATAGGCTGAGGAAAATAAAGCCGTTGAAGAAAGCTGATGTTCTGTACCAGAGAGAATTAATCGATTAAATTAGGAATTTTAATCGATTAAAGTGTACAGAAGCGAAAAAGCTTGAAACCAAAAGTGGAATTAATCGATTAAAAATGAGGGAATAATCGATTATTCTGTTCTGTTTGAACTAATCGATTAAATGAATAATTTTAATCGATTAAGTTGATTTGCCTGAGAAAACCAACGCTGTGAAATTGGATCTAATCGATTATTTTAGAGTAAATAATCGATTAAAGTAAAATAATGCGCAAACATGAAGGGCCCAAGCCAAGCGCAAATGGAAGACCTTTGGCTTCTAACTCGTTGTTTGAGACAGCGAGAATAAGGAAACGCTCCTCAAGGAAATAATATCCCTTATTCAATGAATTTGAATAGGGGAGAAAAGGTGAGTCCAAAAATTATTTTGTATGTCAAACGATGTATACGAAAAATATGTAAAGTATATTTTTCTTACCAAAAAAGATGTGTAATCTTTAAAAAGAATGTTTTTAAGAAATTTTGACACACTTATTTTGAAACTGACTCAGTAAAAAAAATATTTTAGACAGAGGAAAAGTAATTTTTCAACTGACTCAAAAATAATAATTTTTATCCCTCAGAAAATAATTTGATTGTGCAGAAGATAATGTCATCCTTACAAAAATTCCTAGACTCAATAAAAATAAAAAGTCTTCGGAGTCTTCGCTTCACTTCAAAAAACTGCGTAGGGGTGAGCGTAAATTTTATCGTCGAAACTTCTTGATGCCCTTCTTTGCTTTTCTCGATCCGAAAAAAAATTTTCGAATATCGATTTAATCATCCTGTTTGTCATTCATCAAAACAAAAATAATCCAAAAAATAATAAAGGGGTTTGAACTCATGTCCAACAATTTCCCCCTTTTTGATAATGACAAACATAGTTGAGAAAGAGCAAAGTAAGAGTTCAGAAAATACTTCCTTTTAAGAATAATTCCCCCTGTAAGGTTAGAGAAGTGCAAAAATAATTATCGGAGTAATAAGCGGAAAAAATTTGAAAATAAAGTTTTCCCAACGATCCTTCCTTCCCCCTTTTGGCATTATCAAACGATAACCTTCCCCCTTAAACAATGCCGGGATATTGAAGGAAAAAGATGGCAAGAGTTTTCTTTAAAATGCCACAAGGGGACAATATGTTCTAAATAAGAATAATATTGTCACACCAACAATGATATTAATACATAAACAGTTAATATCAACTAGCATCATCGAAAGGAAACATCATCATCCACCAAAAGAGTCACAACAAATAACAATGTATCATAATCAGTCAAGAGAAAATAACAATCAAAGAGAGTTCGCCGGACGAGCTCCTCCGCCAAAGCTGTGACGCGGGCCACGGTAGGAGCGAGATTGCTCAAGACGAGTCATCCTCTCGTTGAGCTGGCGAACGTCATCTCGGATGCACATGAGAGTATCGAAGATCTTCTTCACCCAAGAAGGTTCCGGTGCTTCTTCTCTCGGACGAGTCCTCCGTTGACGAGTGACGCGCTCTGTGGCTCGACTTCCTCCGGCTTGAGATGACTCAGCTTGATTCTCGTTTTGGCTTTCTTCTTCTTCTTTGGCGACTATCAGATCCAGATTTGGTGCAGCATCGCCCTCCTCTCGATACACGATCCGGGAAAACTTGGCTTCAGTGATGAAACACGTCTTCTTGACCGGCACCTGAGTGTCCCGAGGAATGTCTATTTTGCAATGAGCAAGGATATGCATAATGGGGATGGCAAAACGGAGATGGGAAAAACGAGTGCCATCGCTAAGTGCAACGGTAAAGAAGTGAACCCAATCAAATTTGACATCGTTCAACAGGACGTGAAACAAACGAATATCGTCCTTGTTGACAACGTCATGGTTCGAATCACGGGGCAACAAAACATATGAGAAGATGTATGGTTGGACGCGTTGAATTAAAGTGAGATTAATGACACTCGGCGATTATCCAACCCGAGTTGTCGCCAAATTGCCTCATCTTGGAATGTTTCATCCAAGTTTTCAGTAATTTCACCGCGGCGAAGGCCAAACAAGGAAGTTAAACCGGCACCGTCAATGAAAACAGTTTTGCCGTCAACATAGGAAATGAGAGATGGCGAACCTCCCTTAGTGGTACGAAGATTTGCATAAAATTGACGTATAAGATTTGGACAGAAAAATTCATACGTCAAATGAATGAAACAAAGCAAACCTTGCTGAAGAAACATAGACTTACTCGGAGCATAGGTCGCCGATTTGAAGAGGTCCTTGTTCACGATCTTGGGAGAGACGATCTCCTTCGTGAGGAAGATGTTGTGGAGCCTCTTGACGGAAGCTCCAGTGTTGAAGGCGAGACCCGTTTGAATGTGAATATACTTGCTCCCTTCACGACGCCATGGCCTCTCATTCTCCTCTGCCGCCGTTTCTTGACCCGAGGAAGCATTCTTGCACCTTGGCATTCTTCCTTTTTGTAATTGATGAAATTTGGCAAAAAAATGGAAGAAATTTGAGAATTTTATGATGAAGATTGAGAAAAATTGAGAGGGGAAGAAGCTAGGGTTTCTCTGATTCGAAAAAGGGAATGGCGAAGAAGACGAAGACTGGGTGTGATATAAGGCAAAAATCGACTATTAATCGATTAAGCACAAGTATTTAATCGATTAGGGAACACAGCCGAGGCTAATCGATTAAGTTAAGCTTATTAATCGATTAGAAGTAAGCAGAACCAAACGTCTCTTTTCAAGCTATTAATCGATTAAACAGAGATGGTTAATCGATTAATATGGACAGATGAGTCTAATCGATTAATTGAACAAAATTAATCGATTT